AATTTTTTCTATTATTTAAAATTCTAAGATCAATCTTCATAATTTTTCGAAATTTCCGTAGTTTCAATAGAAATAGTGTAACGGTTAATTTAGAAATATCTGTAATAATTAAATCGGAAGTTGATTAACTAAAGCAATATGAAAGTTTTTTGATACTTTGAAAGTTGAAAACGAAATAAAACATAGAAGTATCATAAATAATTTTATAATAGAGTTTGAGGATCAAAGTATTCCGCATACCGAAATATCTAAGTCGTCTATTTAGCATGGGTAAATTGATATGCGAACAAAACGAAATAACGATAAAAACGTACGTATACACAATTCAAATCTCCATTAGGATTGCTGTGTAAAATGATGACCCACATATTAAGTTACCGTGCTTAAAATCCTGTTGATGCATACGTGCTCTCTTCGCAGAGGAGGAAAAAATGCACGATAAATACGAGTGGGGCTTTGTATATCGCATATATAACACGATAGATGCATTCATTGACATGCGCGCTTCGCCAAACGACATAAGCTTTATTAGCGTTTTATTTACGGCTCTTTATTAGAGTCGGATTTGTGTAACCAAACGCTACATGCTTCTTCTCAATGTAGATTTACTTTTGCTGCTCGATGACTTATCGCCATGTGTTTCTTTTTTAATTTTTAGCGTTTTTATGTAATTGAAATAATTGCCGGTTTTTTTTTAAATTTACTTTTCATTCATATTTGGACGAACAAACGCTTGAAATATAAATACTGCCATATTTTACTATTAAGTTTATTTCGATCCTTTCGAATATATAAAAAAGAATATACAAATATTATGCAAAAAAATTTAATAAATTTAACGAATTAATAAATCATTCAAATTGATGCTGGATTTTGTTTCAATAAATTGTATTAGTAACAATTAATATTCTTTCAATTAATATTTTCTATCGTCAGATACAATCCATTTCTGGTCTCATTGTCAGTTTACAGGTTAAACATTTTTTTAACATATTCATACGTACTCTCAAGATTTATGTACAAGTTTTCGGGATGGTTTAATTCAGCAACATAATATTCTTAGCTGTAATCCTTTATGCGTTTTCTTGAAACTTTATTACTATTTAATAAATTAGATGAAATATCGGATTACTAAGCAATTAGAAAAATTAATCGAGAATTAATTATTGGCAATAAAAAACAGTAATGGAATTATAATTGATTTTTGGTAGCTGTTTTTTCTATTTCTCAGTTGTCACTCCTATCAAAATAATACGTGAAAATACGTTCTCATTCTAATTATAAATGCTGTGCAAGAGCCTTGACTAGTTACTTGTATTTATAACAATTTTTCTTGATTATTCGCAAATTACACCTCGAGGCAAAAAAGGTGAGCATGAAATTATGTTCCGCTTTTATACTCGAGTTTTCACCCGAAGTCGCATAATGAGGAAACAAAATGAAAAAGAAAATTCGTCAGAGCCCATCCCGGGTAAAAGCTCAGAATTAGTCTGGTAAGTTTAATAAGTTTCTATCGCAAGATGGAATTTGCGGTTGCACTTCTTACATTTTTTTTTGGGCAGACAAAGTAACCTTTTCGTTGCTTCGCAAATTCAGTTAATGAAGTGGCTCCAGTGCAAAGAGCAGACATTTTTTATGCGAAATAATTTTTCACACTTTCATTATTCTTCTTTTGTAAGATGACATTTGAAGAACGAAAAGTTTACTTCATGAAATATTACTGCTTTTTCGTAGGTCAAAAAGTTTGAAGGTTTTTTAATACTTGAAGTGGGGTTGGGTTTCCTAATGAGCTGAATTAGACCTATTCTATGTTCATACAAATAAATTGGTAACTAAGATAACCTCGCAATGTAAAATGAAAAATTAAAAAATACTTTTCGTATTTTTGCGAGAAATAATTTATCATTAGTAATTGATGTTACTATTTTTCTAAAAGATTACATTTTATTCATTATTAACTATCAAGACAGTTGATACATACAAATATTGCGTAATGTCGGACTCGCATGACCGTACGTGAAAGCTTTTCGATGTACTGTTAACAATTTGTAGAATGACTGAACTTCTGCTCTCGTCCCTACTTGAATAAGAAGATGCTGCTACTATTGACTAAATTTTTTTCTCGCAAACTTCACGATGAATAAAAGATATAATATGAAAAAACCACATACTGAGTCTCGTTTTCTTCTACAAGGTATTTTGCATCCCGAAACAACCAAAGCGAATGCCATAAGAGTTTCATCGAGCTGAAACTCCTTCAACGCGTCAGACAAGCGTCTCTGCCTTTTTTCTCGAAAGCAAAGCGAAATAAAAAGCGAGAAGCAACGTTGCGAATAGATAAAAGAGGTCATAATCCGAGGCACCGGGGTGTGCTCGTGGCATCGTATTCGATATACGAGGGGGTGGCAGCCGGTCGCTATAAGGTTTTTCAGTACTCGCGCGCATTAGTCGCCTCTGTGCGCAAGCCGGCACATACAGCTTTCGAAGTCTCCTGGGCGCAGGGTGCAGCTTTGTATACCTGTGTAATTCGATTGTTGTCTATAACTGTGCTAGCTCGAAGCATTGTCCGGTGTCTCGCAACGCAAGCGTGCGGAAGGAATCCTATTGCTGCGCTCGATCGATTTCAACTCCTTTGTAGACGACCATTCATTCAGCTTGGCTCTGAAGCAAATGCATTTACGTAGGTGGGGCAAATTGACGCGCAGCTGTTTGGCTTGAAGGTAATATTCTGGCAATCAAATAGCACTAAGCTTTTTAATTGATCTTCTTTTTGATGACGGCTATACGATTCGGACGATTAATTCGAGCGCAAATAAAACCTCAATGCAGTCGTTACAAGTTGCTATGGATAGTTTATTCGCTGCTGTATTTTACGAGCCACTTTTCATCAAGTAGAGCGAAAAGCGAGAACACGCCGGAAGATTGAAAACTCAGATACACTGCGTCAAAAAAATAAAAATTTATGACATCACCAGGGCAAAAAAAGTCTAGTGAAAGTCTTGCAACAGCTTGCAATGCACAAATTGCGGCGACATCGACGAAGCTTACGCGCGGCCAAAGTCAATAAGTTCGCGAGTTCTCTTTGCGTCCAGAGAGTTCAAACACGCGGAAAGCCAAACAAACGCCGAGTGGCTGGCGTTTTACGCGCGCGCGCAGAGAAAAGGCAGTGCAACAGAAGCAAAAGATAGCAAAAAATGGAAGAAAACAACGAAAGGTATTTCAGAAAATAAAGAGAAAGAGAATACGAGCGGAAGGCTGCAGGTGAACGCCTCGAGGGCATTCAATAAAAAAAGGGCAGCTTCGTACGTCGTTGTGTTCGCGCCAAGCATATCTTCTCTGGACAAACTCTGTTAAAGCGTTTTGCGGGAGCCAAATGCATTTTGCCGTTGATCGGTCTACGATGCAGGATGTGTATACTCATTTTTTTCATGGAGCGTTTCTAGCTTATAAATTAAATTGACTTATTCAGTTTTAAAGCAAACATTTATTTTTGTCTTCCACGTAAGCTTATCGCCAAAGTATTTCGTAGAGAGAAAAAAGAGACCGACCATTATCAAATGTGGCTAGTTGTGTTTGTTCTCCAATGTTACTGATTCAATGTGAGACTAGCTTGGCACACGTTAGTTCAACGGAAATGGCATCAAGTGTCATAAGTAGTAACGAGCTGCTTGCGTTGGGTGACACATGCTCAAGTGCGTTCTGTAAACTTTTGTGTATTATTCAGTTTGAATATAGAGAATGTGATGTATGTTTCAGGCGTATAAGTTTTGTCGAATGAAATAAAATTATTATTTGAGCAATAAATAGACGAAACGATGTGATAACATACGAAAATCGTTTATTACAACAGCATTGTTCCATTTCACTTCAATTTCGTATCGATTTGTCTTGAAGTAATGTGGTCCATTTTCTTCTGGCTTTTAATGAATATTTTAGAGACGGTTCTCGCCCTAGGCAATAAAATTGATTGTTTATTGCCGCGATAAAAAGCTCTCTCAAATAACTTAAAACAATGAAAGAAAAATAATAGTTTTTGCTTAATACCGACAACCTTTGCCACATCGGTAGGCCGGATCCTTTTTCTTTATGGTCCCGCGGCCGTAAAGTTGGATTGTCCTCGCACGCCTAATTACTAAGGTTACTTGCCTCGGATAAAACTTCCATCCATTGCTCTTTATCACCCCTTGACCCCGTAGGCTTCCCTTTCCTGTCGGACTTGCTTGGCCGGATAGCATTTTTTGGTTATTCTGGCTTGAACTAGATTTTATTTTAACTAGAAACGAGACTAGAAAACAACTTGTCTCTCCACGCACGCTCACACTCTCCAATCCGCCGAGTCAAGCGTGAATATCATAAATCCTTGTACTCGATCAATAAAGATATACCTTTGCGAACAATGCATATTTCATTCAGCTCGCTCACCAACCGATCCATGATCAAATCTTTCGTTCTTATATTAAGAACTATTCTTTTTTTAACTAAAGATAAATAAATAAAATCGTTTTTGAGCGATGCAAGAAAGCGTAAAATAGCGTAAAAGAGATTTAAAAATACGCTAGTATGATTATATCGCGGAAAAAAATTCACAATTGGACTTCTCCTTCAGCACTCACATGAGCTTTCTTTATTTTTATGACTTACTTATTTTTAGCGAAATACAGCTAATAGTCGTGTCAATATTAGGTATGTCGTTCACATATTTTAACGTGTTTATCTTTATCAACAATAAAATTACTCCAAAACCTGTTTTGTTTTTTGTTTTTATTTGTCGATACCGCAAGGCAAACGTTTTCTCACAATGTCTACTCGTAAAAGGAAAGGACGATCCCTCGATGACGAAAGGAGGATCCACGCAACGATGCAAACAGTTATATAGCAAATCGACTCGCGTGCACAATATACAGAGGGCGGAGGGTAGGGAGGTCGATCACACGCAGGCGCCACCGCCACCGCAGCAAGGCAGGCCAAAGCCGCATTCAGTACGCTCGAGGTAAGCCACCTCGACGGACACGCGCGCGCCAGCTTCCGTTCCGTATCTGTACGCTTCGCAAGCACGTGTTCCCCCTTTTCTCTTGTCTGGATTACTATTTTCAGCTGTCGAAATCTCCACATCTTTCACGCACGTTGAACAGCCACATACGAGTATTGTGCTTTCTTTGTCTTTCGTACTGTGCGTAGTGCTCGGAGGAAAAGAGATTTTTTTGACGTGTTGCAACGTTTATTAAAGTTGAGTGATTAAGCGACAAGCTCTTTTCGTTCCTTTTCTTTTTAGTAATAAGTCATTTTCTTAGTGCCAGTTGTACAAGTGCTTATTCGAGCGTGCATTTACATGCATTTCAGAGAGATAAATGAAAATCATTTATCCGTCCAACGAAACAGATAACAACGTAAATATAAACTAACTATTTATATTAATTTCATCAGAAATCAAAAACTTTTCTCGTCGATATTTATAAATTCAAAAAAGGAAAACGTGATATTTTCAAAAAATTTGAAGCATTATAACAAAGAAGCAGAACGTTAATAATGCATGCAATATCTTTTTGAATTAACGCGATGCTCATAAATGCACAACTCTAATGTCAAGTATCATCCGCTTGACAGACCACCAGTATCAACAACAATCAGAGTGCCACCTTTTCTTCTGTCGCTCTTTCTTTTTTTCATCATTAATTACAAAGTTTCGGTGGGACAGTGTTTCACTGTCTCAGCGTATAGCGTCACGAAGTGATAATGAAAGTTTGATATGACTACCATTGTGAGCGCGGTCAGGAAGTTTACTCTAGGGCGCCCGGATCAAAAATTAAATTAACTGGAGACGTGCTTTCTCATTCGAATATCTTTGGGGGCTCCCTTTTTGTTAGATGGAAAAACTTTGATTAGACATGCGAATTTCTTTTATTTTGTACAGCGTGATCGACAAGGTTGCGTCGGATAATGTAACTTTTTGCAGTCAAAGCATGAATATGCAAGAACTATGCACATTAGAGATGATGATATATGCTTTTCAATGATACAAGTTATTTAGGATTTTGAAATAAATGTAACAACAACGCCGTCAATCCTTCAAGTTATTTAGCTCACCATACAAATGACTGGCCTAAATACATATTGCAATTAGTTATAATAAAATGTATATCCAATCATGTCACATTTCGTCTTATTCGACTAATACCTAATCTATTATTACTTCACAAAGAAAGGTATACAGTCGATTCTAACAAACATTTTCTTAACAGCAGCCGGCCAGAAATTCCATGTGAAATGTCTATTTTCCGTAATTAAAGGTTCTCTCCACTACAGCTAGCTTGAGACATATTTTCATTTGACACTTTCGTTCACTCTTGGTATAATAAAACCGTAGAGAAATTTCACGCTCGAAGCACCAATTATCCATCTATAATTAACCCAATAATTATAGTCTCGCGCGCGCCACCCAATAAACAAACGAGCGAAGAGAGAGTGAGAGAGAGAGAGAGAGAGAGAAAGGAAATGGAAGCCTTTGAAAATCGATTCTCTCAATTATAGCGCTACTGGCGATTCGCTGCAGCTGTTTTAATCATTAAAATCAAAACAAAAGTGTCCACTACATGAGTGCGTTGGATAGTCCAGTTTTGGGAGAGAGGCTGCTTTCGGTAGTGAGCTTTCAGCCCGCGGGAGAACGTCTTGGAAGCGTTGACAAAGAGCTTTGTTCCGAGAGTGCCCCAAAACGGATAATCGATCTTGATAGCGCACCAAGAGCTGCTGCAGTAAATGCGCGCTCGCTCTCTGCCTGCTCTCTTCGTCCTTTCCGCATATCTCAGATATATATCAATTTACCGATGCATTCTTTGCTTTCCTTGTTGTCTTCCGGCTGTGAGCTTTCTTTTTTTATTATACGAAAAAAAAAATGCGCAAATATTGATTTTAATCAAATCTTGTAGCTGTGAATATTTAAACTGATTAGACAATTGGAATTCGTATAACGGACTAAAATCAATTAAAATTAAAAAATTATACGAACCATTTTGGCGTTTCAATCTATGGTTGTAACAAAAGATGGAGTTTTTGTCTGTACTCTGAATTAATATTCTCCATGTATTATATGTGGTAATTTATTTATAATTACAGCGTTTCCTTAACCATTTATACCTTCAAATAATTGTCGTCATCCATTTCATAAATTATTTGCGCTTATCGTTGAAGTAATTACAACGCTATTACGAAGAAGCTAATTTTCAATGTGACGTATATCATAACTTATTTCATACTTATTTCGTATAATTTTTGTTCACTTTCTAATCGAAATAAGCCTATCTCTCTCTCTCTCTCTCTCTCTCTCTCTTTCTCTCTCAGTAATCTCATGAATTGTAAACACGCGGCACCTGCACGTCCTATGCCGCGAATATCGCGAAAATTTCAGTAAATCATGTTCGCGGTATCATGAAGGCGAAGTCATTCAACTGATAGGTAGTCGCATTTATAAATAATCGAAAGTCATAACAGACGAATTTTAATGCAACACGCTTTCTAAATCCAAAATCAACCGGAAAGGTTCTCAAAAAAAGAAGGTAACGGTCGTCAAAAATAGACTATGCGGATCAGTCTCGTATGTATATTTTAAAGCGTGTGAGCAGCGGCTACGACGTCGACGACTAATGGATTCCGCGGAGGGACGCGAGCTAAAAAAAAAAGCATTCGAGAGCTCGTCACGCAAGTGTGCGAGCTTGATTAGTAAGACTAATTAGTCACGCGATAGCGCGTGGTGCATTTTTCGTTCTCGTGGCTTGAAGCCGTTGGCCGACAAATGCTGGGTGATTTTTTTCAACTTGTCACTCTGGGCGATGAATGTGTTGCTGACACAACTGGGATCGATAATATGAATGAATCATTGAGGGGTAATTCTAAGGAACGTTCTTTATCGTATCGATCGAAGGAAATGTGTACAGGGACACGCTATCCCACCTCTTACAGAATTGTTGGAACTTTTTGAATACAACTTGCTTAATTTTTCCAATTAGAATATTCCTCTAACAAATTGAGGAGATGCCAGAGGATACAAATTGACTTTGAAAGTTTAAGGAACTCGGCAGTACGTACCGAACAAGTGTACCATCACTCGTCTATTTATTCGTTTGTTTCAAAATTAAATTACATGACAATTTGACGTGTGCCACAAAATTATGGAAATGGTGAATTATAAAACAGTGCTTAAATTTATTCAACGAATATTACATTTTCGTCCAAGTAAACCCATATAAAGGTTTATTCTATGAATGAAATATTGCAATTTATTCATCGAATATTTATATAGTTGATATTAAATATTTTTTTACGTTTTGATATTAATACTTCCATCATCAAAACCTCACACATATTTATATAATATGTACATCGTGTTATGATTTATAGAACAAGCGCGTATGTACAGAATCAAATTTTAATGAGAGCATATTGTAATCGTAGTAGAGGCTGCTGCTTCCTCCGGGGGCTTCATGCATCAATGTAGCTACCGACTGCATAAACGATAAAAAAAATATAGAAAGAGGGAGAAAGAGACCCTTACACACCAATTAGAAATTTGTTCACAACTCTTTTTTTCAATCCTGACCGCATATGTATAGCCAGAATGGCTTGGTCTCAATTAAAACTACCGTGCTGTAGGTGACTATATACTTGCGCGTAACAACAAATTTTTGCGGTTCTGGCACCTGCGAAATGATTTAAGTTTGACACGCTCCCATTGCACGGAAAATGAAATGAACGATTTACAGCGTCTCTGTTTTGTGGGTGACTGAAATATACGCGAACATTGAATTTGCATTTATCAATTCTGAGCAATGAATGAGGATTGTAGGCCGCTTTACAAAGGAAAAATAAAAATAATCATAACACTTTTTGTCTTATCATTTCTAACATCGAGTGCAAAAATGATTCCGTACACGTATTCGAAATGAAGCTTTTTCCCTCGAACAACAACTTATCAATTTAGACGATGAGAGTGTTTTCTCTCTAATTGACTTTTAATTATATCAATCTTGTTTAGTCCGATTCTTACCATTGCTTTAAACTCGCGTTAGCTTGATGGTTCTACCAAAATGCATCTGTAATACACCCTATGACAGTAACAAGATGTATAATTTTGTTACTAGACAGTGTCACGCTTTGTCGTCCAACATTTTTTCAAGGATGGAATTTCTCTTTACAGCCCATTCGCACCACATAACAAGACAAAAGCTCGTTCATCTTAAAGATACGTTGCTTGCGCGGCCATAAAACGCCAACGCACGCGCATAATGTAAAGCTACTTCGAAAACTATATTCTCTATGACCCGTAGTACGAAAAGGAGCAGCAACTCGCTCGAGGTAATCGTTTGAGGGTGGCTTGATAGGACACAACAACGGTGGCTCGTTAAAACTGACTAGTAACTATCTGGCTGTTCTATTTAACTAAAATTATTTAACTATTTAGGTTCGTCAATGCACAATATATCCAAATTATACGATGTAGCGGCCGCCGCGCGATACCAATATTTTTTATAATAATTGCTTGTTTCCAAAGTTTTTGTTTTTGTCACACTGGATGAAACTTCAACGCGACAAGAGTGTGCATGTATATTATTAGGAGGATTATAATAACATTGCTACGCCGCACTAAATATTAATGAACTGGCTGTTCGCGCGGCCGACGTGCGCGGCAGTCAAGGAAACGAGAGACCAGTGCTTCAATTCCGCCAAATAGTGATCAATATCGTAAAATTACTAATTATCTTTCACTATAAAGATTCTTTGCTCTAATTGCAAACGTGCATTTTGATGGGATCAACTTCCACGAAAGCACGAAAGTTTTTTTCTAAACTGCGTACGTGCAGGTAAGGTGTTTCGCTATGATTAGAAATTTCCTCTTTCTTTACCGTTGGGCAAAATGGGTTTTGAAAAGTTCGTCTTTACTTCTAATGGCTGCTTTTACGAGCTTTTAGTTGTAGTGATTATATTTTTATCATATTACGAGATATGATGGAACGAAGAGTAGAGGAAAATGTATTTAATATTCAAAATCTCGTATTCGTCTAATAAATATAACTATATACCCAGGAATGTATTCCTTGCAAGAGTACACACGTGAAATGAATAATTGAAAAGATTTTCGCAAAGTCACATGTATACAAAGATACTTTTCAGTTACAATTTCTTTATTTGCCCAAGATGGACGTATTGACAATTATAATTTGACGAAGTAATGATTTTTTGAATATAAAATAACCTTACTCAATGTCTGCATTATATTTATTAACTAATCGAGCACTTTCTTGTCGATGATAATTCGAACATGCGTAATCCATTTAATTATTATTAGAAGAACTTGCTTTAATTATCAGTTCTCTATGTATTTCAATAATTATTACACATTTTTACATCAATGTGTAAGCATTTTCTAGACTCACATTAGAATAGGGTTTCCAGCGCGTATTGCTTCGCATAAAGTATTATAGGGGAGAATCTATTTTTAAAGTCGAAAAACTTATTCAATATCACACAACCAATCACTAAATTTCGGCGTACGCAAGAAAAGTCACTCTCTTTTTTTTTGTTCGTAAAAATCCAATATTTCTTTTTCTAAAACTCAAATAGGGCTATCGAAAATTCAACAAAAGTAAGAGCCATCCAAGCTCACGTAGGAGCTTCCCGTTCTCCTGATCTCTCAAGGCTGGGAACCAGCCATACCACCAGCTCACATCGCTGCCTGCATTATACATACGAAGTGTGGTCTCTCCCTTTTCTTCAAAAAAAGAACTCAAGATGCTGTACAGTATAGTAGAGAAGGGTGAAGGTGAAGAACACTGATAGGGGAGCTCGGTTGAATTTCATTATTTTAGGGTCCTCTACTTTGCGAAAGTTTAGCGTACATTTTTGTTCTTTTCAGTTTTTTTCCTTCTTCATACTGACAATTTAAATATCTGGTGAGTCATAACTGCTTTGTAATTTTACTCAGTAATTTTTTTTTCAAAATGAAATCAAAGTAGTTGTGATTATATTAATTTTTTTCTTCAAAGATATACAAGCTTTTTAGTTTAACTTTAATAATGTAGAAAAATAATTCTTTTTTTTTTTTAAAGAATTGTTTTCTTTTGTGAAACGCGTATTCATATTGAAAGTCATATATATACAAATCATACAAATAAAACATTAACACCGTTCAAGTGTTATCCAGTAATCAAGTAGAAATGTCAAGATACCATCAGACACATAACAGTGTGATTGAAGCTTCAGCTGCCACCATTATCATCAATAACATGTCAAACTCCACTAAAAAAAATCTCTCTCATTAATCATTGTCTATCAAAGCACGTCGAAAAGTCGATAATCAAGATTTTACACACAATAGCAAAAATATTTCTAAAAACATTTCTCGAATACGGCCCTAGACAAAGTATCGAATAACCGGAAGGGCAACGGTGCAACGGGTCAAACTATGGCTCGTTTCCTTCCGACATTTCCGGAAATCCGTTACAAGTAAACCTCACCTGTACATAGAACATCATTACTCGACTATACAAGAGAGAGAAACAGACAGACAGAAAAAGAGAGAGTGAAAGAAAGAGAGCGAGAAATAGGGCCCTGCGACTTCCGTGCTACTCGTTATAGACACTCACTGTTTGAATCGGTATATTACGAGTGTGGGCGTTGGTTGATATATACACGTTGCAGCAATAGACTGAGTGAAATTCTCTCAAGCTACAAAGAAGGACAGTTACGGCAACTTTTGGTGTGCATGTTGTCGGGGTGATATTCTTAGTTATTTATACTGAAAACACCTGCCCTCATATTTCTACAATTTTCATATGCAAACGCGAGTTGTTTCTTTTGCTCTGCGAATCTTTCGTAGTGACGCATATAATATTACCAGAGACGGCAAAAAGACGCTGATAGACAGACGGTTTTATCGAAAAGACGTCGGAACCGATTTGCTATAAAAAAAAAAACAAAATATTTAAAAAGAAAAAATCGTAACTAACGCATCAACCGATATTTCTTATTATAACTGCAGGCTTGGTGCGCATTACAGCGACGACGACGACGACTCGCCAAAGTAGTAGACAAGTCGATGAAAGATGCAGCAAAAGCTGACGGCGATGACGATCGTTGAATCTTCCGACCGATTAAAATCATCAACTACGGGACAACCAGTGACGATCGCGCTCGTGTTAAAATGTTGCCGTTGCGTGAGAGATTCATCGTAGAAGAAGGGAACGAACGATATGCCCGGGATCGTCGTGTTCCGCAGACGATGGAGCGTCGGCAGCGACGATCTTGTTGTACCTGGCGCTTTCCTCTTCGTTCTGCATCTGATATGGTGAGTGCTTACCTACTTTACTTTCATTTTTTTAGAATATTTATTCCACCTTTCACTTTTTTTGTCTGAAAAATTTTTTTTTGTAAATGATTTGTGTTAATAGTCGATGCCTTCCAAATAACGTAATAATCAAATTCTTAAGATAAATTTTCTTCTTTTAACATAAGTCAAGAAAAAAAAGTATAATATGGATAAGGGCGAAATGCTACCGAAATGAAACATCTTTCGACTAAAATCCAAAAATAATAACTTAAAATAAAAAAATATTTAAAAAAAGATATTTAAGCTCATAGTTTTTGTAACGGTTTGAGTGTTCTTTCTTGTCGTTGTCTATTCTTTGAAGATAAGGTTGGCTGTGTAAAATGATATTATAATTAAAATTAACTATATGCGCTTTATTAAATGAAAATGAGAGAGAGAGAGAGAGAGAGAGAGAGAGAGAGAGAGAGAGCGACTACTGTCCGAGATTGAATGCCTCCCCAGCCACTTTGAATCTGTCTCGTTGCGCATTTCGCCTAATCGACCCCACTAAATTGTCCTCGCGGAAGTATAGCAGATGCAATTGCATTCGCGGCCCCAAACAGCTGGCGAATATTCTCCAAGCCGTGAAAACGTGGCGACCGCGAGTAAAAGCGGACAATGGAGTCGAGTGACTCTTACCAGGCTTTACCCACGATATTTCTTTAATTAAGAACATTTACAATTAAGAATGCAACACAACAGAGAATATTTCTTTCAAGGCAAGATTATTTCGCTCTCGAAAAGTAATTTTAATGTTATTTGTTTAGCACCACATAGTTGAAATTACCATTTGCGGAAATTAAATTATTACTCTACATTCAGTAATAATGAAGAAAGCTTTTTTGAATTTACAATGCAGCTTGGAACTTTCAAAATAACAGTGTTGATCGAGGTAACTTTTATATTATAAAGTTCCGCGAACAATTTTGGTTCATTGAAATAAAGAGTATATTATGTAAATTGATCAATTTTATTTCAAACAGTAATGGTCTTCGGATTGCTATTATAGCTTTGCTCTAAAACTTGCGTTAACATCGACGAAAATATAGAGTTTCTGAACAATTCGTTGTAATAAATCAACCACTGATAAAAAAAGACAAAGTGGATCGATAAACTTTGTACATACGTGTACAGTTAAATTATCAAGTACCGACAGAATGATATTGTATTGTTTTAATGGATCGAAGAGGTGCTGATGGAATAAAACGGAATACTTTATAAAATTAGAACGGAAAATATTGAGTTTCTTAATCAACGTTGGCATGCGCAAATCACATCGGTATAAGAAATTGACGGAAGTGAAAAAAAAGGTTCTGTGCAGTCGATTGCCCCAGTAATTTGGCCGTCGGAAAAATGTATATTTTTTTCTAACAAGCTAACAATTTCCTAGCAAAAAGAAAAGAATTACTGTGAATTTCGCAAAAATTTTCCACTCTTGTGCGCGCACTTAAGCTTTCCTGAGGTACAGAACAACATGTAAAGTACAACGAAGAGAAAGTAATTACAGGATTCAGAAAAAAATAAAGTGTGTATCACTAAAAGCACTGTAAAATACAAAAATCACATCCTTGCATTCGTATAAGAGTGTGAGTAGGAGAAAAGGAGCTCTGGATGAGTGCACTAAAACAGTATGAAACAACGGCTTTCATCAGAGCTCCTTTAAAAGCGGTCTACACCATTTGCCTCTTTCGCATCTTCGTACTTCAAAACGCCCTTTCTACCTCTTTCACTCTCTCTCTCTCTCTCTCTCTCTCTCTCTCTCTTTCTCTCTCCTGCCCATACTATTTTAAATGTCCGTCAACTCTTTTGCGCTTGGTACGTTTTTCTCTACCTACTGTCTGTGTTTACTTTTTCTCTGCAGTTACTTCGCTACGTGACTTTCCTCGTGTATACTTTTTTATCACGGGCATCTACACTAAACTTCATGTTACATTCTACTTTTTGGTATTTTGACGAAATGAAAATAAAACCAATGTTAGCAGCTGTCACAAATAGATGGGTGAAAATTCTATTTTATTTTCGAAATTGTTTGTGTTGGAATTACAATATTAAAAGTTGTAAGTTAAAATTACGAGAATAATCATACCAACTATTCTTATAATTTCATGCAACATTATTCTGAACAAAGTACTTGAAAAAAGTACTTCAAGGTTTATCTGTTCACGAATCTTTCGAATATCTCCTCTAGCTTGACATTCTTCATTTAGATTAATAATATTTTAAGTAAAAGTAACACGTATTTTAAAAATAATGCTATTGGATATCGTTATTCAGAAACTAGAATTTTGAAAATGGCGAAGGGCTTATTATATGCAGCTACTTTTCTTCTTTTTTTCGTATATTTTATAAAATTAAATTTAGTCCAATGTGTCTTGTGAAATTTACAAAAACGACAACTAATCGAAATTCACTATTAAAAAAAGTATATTTTTTTGATAAAAAATTGTTTCAAACTAATGAAAAGTTATAGGACGACAATTGCGACTATTTATTATTCTCGATGCAAATTTCTGAAAAATAGTAAATTAAAAAAATTTTTCACCGTAATTTTAAGTAAGAAGCCTATTGAATGAAAAAAAAATAAATCTTATAAATTTCAACTACAGTCACATTTTTAATACCCATTACCACCCATATAAATGTTTACAGGTCATTTTCCTTGAAGTATCAAAGTTTGTTTAATGCAGCTTTTCGCAGTAATTCGAATCTTTTACAACCACACTATATCTCTCGCTGCTTTTGGCCTACAATAAACCCAACTTTATATATTTACAGTAGCTATAGATTTCTTATCGTCGAGTGATTTTCGCTGCAAAGCTTCTCTCATCCTTTCAGATAGATCCGTTGAAAAGTAAGAAACATCCAGCTGTTCGGAGTTTTTATGCTTATTCAGTGAATCGTATTGTTGAGGATATAGAGAACAAAAATAAATAAGAAAATTGAATTATCAGTTGAATTTTTTATTTGTTCAAAAGAACAGTGTCGATTAGTTTATATGACAATGTATCCATAAAAATAAAAAATCCAGCGAGGAAAACAATGTTATATGAAATCCAATAACCGCTCTACAAACTTTGAATCATCTTACCCTACTAATCTCAATAACTTTCACATACAATTCACTAAGAATTAAAATAATCTGTCTCTGCTGAAGCCAAACGAGTAGAGTGGACGTGTCCGAAAATTGTCCTCTTAGCGGCAGTTTTTGCATTCAACCGCCACAGTCGGAGGCTAGCAGCACTTCTGATTGAGTCTGAGCGCATTGCCACCACTGCCGAATTTTCTCTCTCATTCTTTCCCTCGCTTGCCTTTCAGTTTTGTACACTACCGGTCCACAGGTCATCCTCGCAGTTTCCCCTTTCCATCTCTTGACCTATTAACCTCGGAAACCGTATTTCCCACCAGGTTCGTATAAACTCTTGGATCCAAGTTAGCTTCACGATCACGAAAACGCCATTTCGATTGTGCGCGTGTAAAGATCCGAGCAGCGATGGATAGAAGAGAAAATGACATATTACAGAGCTTTTATACCGATTACTACGCCGACTAATCAACGCGTGCAATTGAAGCCTTAAAGTTTTTATCTCTCGGACTTTATAGATCAAATTCGATTCGCTATTCGTGGCACGTGCTTGCTACTTACGTTTCCAAAGCGTCTCGGTAATTTACAGGCGAACAAACGGGAGGGAATATTACCGTTGAGATTTATCACGCATAGGCGTCTTTGTGTGATTTCGAAAAATTCAACCTTCTTTTCTTTCTCCAAATTTTGTAAATAGTTATTTTCAGTTAGAGCGATGATTTTCTTAAAACTTGTAGTTTATTGAATTTAAGGTCGATGTTAGAAAGTTTCTTGAATTATCCAAACTAAATTTAAATTTATTTGATCTGCTATAATTTTACTATATTATCGAGTATTCTTGGTCATGGTTTGGGGAGAGTACTTCAAACAATACATCATTTTGAATCGTACCGCAGAAAATAAAGTAAGTTATTATTGAAAGCCAATGCGCATATCAATTGATTCCAACAATTATTTAACAGTTGTGTTTCATTAATCTGCTTTATGACATTGTTAATGCTTTTAATTACTCATCGTTAATTAAATTCGTTAACACATTGCAGCATTGTGTACCAAAGAAAATCGTTGAACTTTTTAAAGTTTATAAAGTCGCCAGCGGAAATGTGGAAAAGAAGCATATTATACTGCTATATTCAAAATGAAAAAATCGCCGAGTAATCGTTGATTTACAACGACGATCAATTATGTGCACGGTACATAAAATTACGAAAATTAGCTGAAAAGTCAGCAATATCTCAGGCGAGGAACTAATTGAAAATTGGCAAAGCGCCGCGTGTGCAAACAATGTGCGATGCTCGCACGCCGTTGGATCGCGAGATAGCCAACTATACCCCGCACTGTTATGCGTAGCGTCAGCCGATATGCATATATTCATGATGTCTATGAGTTAACACGTGTGACAGGGCTTGCAAGTTCCCTTGTCTCTCTCATATACGAGCTTATCATTACAGCGCCCACGCGATTTGCCAATTTAATCGACGACGCGAGAAGTTGCTCGCCTCACTCTCGCGCATTCGTTCAATGAGTGGTCGCGTAATTTGACGTTACTGTTCTTTACTTCGATGCGCTCGTGTTATTGACTTTTTGTCTGTGTTTTTTTAAAGTAGGATCAGTTTAATTTTATTTTCAATTCAACTGATTTCAGCTTGATTCTAATCGATTTCGAAACCAACTAACTGGCTAAACGCGCTGTATCTGTGCTCAGTTTTTTTATCAACCCGCAAAACGTAGAGTTAATGTATGCATCATGAACTTCAATCGATTGTCTATTAATATGAACAGACGCGCGTAGGACAAGATGTGTTATACTACCCACGCTTGCATCAATCTTTATTCATAAATTTATCAGGCCTTCGTATGCAAGCTCGTTTCAATAAACGATTGTCAATGCGCTGCA